GAGAGCAACGTCATTTTGGCTTCTACCTGTATTTATGTGCCTTGGCTTCTACCTGTATTAATGTGCCTTGCATAAGAATAAGTTAATTACATACATACATATGTATTTTATTTAAGTTAGATACGGAGCGGAGCGTAAAACTAAAATTATAATACCTAATTTTGCCAAATTATGATTATTGTAGGTATTCACACCTTTCCGGTTATCAGGTTAACTGCTTAAAGAATTCTCCGTTGTATTTTATGAACATTATTAGGGGTCTTCATCAAAAGTGATAAACTGTTGATAAACTTGTTAAAATCATAAACTTATCGTATGGACCAATGGACGCCCACACACATCTGTTTACCATTTTGCAAATAATACGTGCGTATAAACGTAGAATGTGAAAACTTGTCGTTCACACGCGAATGCTTTGCGTACGCACAGAGTGAGATTGAAAAAAGGCATGTCATGCATTTCAAATTAGCTTTTGTTCTATAATTCTGAAAGATATTTTAATTCTCTATTTTTTGATGTATCAACTAATGCAAAAATGTGAAGTAATAACGAAGATATAGGTCGAAATAAAAAGCTCACGCTCACGTGCGCTTTTCAATTTCGGTTGCTCCCAGTGAGTTGTATGTACATATATGAGAAATTTTTGATAGTAACAGCCGGTGTGCGTGAATATTAGGTAGGCCTGTAATAAACCTTTTTTTCAGAGACTTTTTTTTCAAATTGAAACTTTATATACCTATATATATCAAAATAGCATTGCATATAAATAGTTCTTGTCAAACTTTTTAAGCTTAACCTGTTTTGTCATCTGAGATGCTTTGTTTCTAAAAGTTCTTTAAGAAATTATTTCTATTCTTAAAAAAAACTCCATTTTTGGAGGTATTCTCAAATCGGTCTTAATATTTTTCCGAAATATTTTGGTGGACGTCTTCAAATATAATAACTTTTGTAATTTCAGCTTAAAACCCGCCACTTTTTTGACGATGCTGTCTACTGCACATACATATATACATATCAAGCCTTAAACGCAAAAAATATGTAAGCGACATTTTAAAAAAATTTGAATTTTAATGCTCTAGGAACATTACTGCGCCAATGTGAAAATGCTCGAAATGTGAAAATTGCGTGATTGACAGAAAACTGCCTCACGCACTCTCACGCCAGCAAAAATTTCAGTCACGCACGATCACGGAAGTTTCGTGATTTTTCTCTCAAAACCCCTGACGCTCACGCGTGAAAAAGCGTGACACGACGTGTCGCGTAGAATATCACGTCTTTTGCCGATCTCTACTCCCAACCAACCGCCGCAACATACATTTCACTTCAAAAGGCAGAACAGACTTTGTGGTTTTTGGTAAAATGTTCCTGAGTGGCGCCAGAGATCCGCTTCAAGCTAGACACTCATCCACCGGGGTGAACTGCAGTACTTGACGACGGAGTCCCTCTCCCACCCCAAATCCAANGCCGCAACATACATTTCACTTCAAAAGGCAGAACAGACTTTGTGGTTTTTCGTAAAATGTTCCTGAGTGGCGCCAGAGATCCGCTTCAAGCTAGACGCTCATCCACCGGGGTGAACTGCAGTACTTGACGACGGAATCCCTTTCCTCCCACCCCAAATCCATCACGGAATTTGCGCTCCTTTACATGGCATCTCAAAGTTTCTTTCGCAAATGAAAACTAAACAATAAATGCAACACATAAAATTGTCTCAAAACATTTATTCGATTTTAATAAAAATGTACCTTCGTATATACAAGCATGGTAAAAAAATTAAGTTTTATTATAAACATCTACATAGTCTACTAAAAAAGCTGTAGCTAAGTATGCATGGTCTTATAATATATATTTTTTTACTCTTCACACATACATACACTAAATTTTTGGAATAATCCAAAAATAATTTTTTTTTTATGTGTTGCGTGTGTATTATTAGGAAGAAATAGAAAGCAAGCGATAATCATTAAATATTAAATAATAGTTAAACTAAAACATAATATTTGGTACAATTGCACTTTTCAAATTATTCGATTCGATCGGCACTTGGTTTCGAACTAGAAAGAGAAAATTGGCTTATGGGCAAAAAAAAGCGCAATGATCGTTTTATAATTTTCTTGTATGTACAATATAACTTGTATATGTTTTACTAATTACCTACATTGTTTTAAGACACAATTGAAATTAGATTTCATACTTATAATTAAAATTAAAATTAATTTACTATTAACTAAATATGTACTTATGTACAAGCGTACAAGTATGAATCTTCCAACCCACTGGCTATTATCCCCTAACTAACTACCCCCCAATATTTCCTTTAAATTAATTTTCACAAGAATTTTATAGCTAAATTATATTGCATCTGTTCCTCAAATGCCGCCAGCACGCCAAGTAGCAAAACATTTACATACATATTTACCAGCGATTGAGGTGCGCCCAATAATAATATAACAAGGACTTCTCTAAGGAGTGGTGGCTTCGTTTGTTCGCAATTTTATGAGCATTTAATTGCACTCATATTTAAATTAACAGCGCACAGAAAGGTGCTAAGCAGTAAAGAGTCGAATGTAGAATGGCAAAAAGAGGTCGAGAGTAGCAGCATCTCAATCCTGTTTAACAGCCGCTTCAGTCTTGGCCTTCACCGCAGCAGCCTCCTTATTGTAATTCTTAATGTAGAAGGAGCTAAACATGTAGGTGAATAGGCCGGCATTGAAGGTGAGCAGGGCAGCAATCGGTTTTGAGAAATTACAATTTGGCTGGAATTGAATTTGGAGAGTGTGCACGAAAATGATGAGGAATTGGATCTGTGAGAAGAAAAATTCGTATTGCACTTGAAATTTCCATTAAAATTAATCAAAAAGCTTGCAACCACTTACAATTTGCAAAATGGTAATGTACTTCTTCCACCACAAATACTTTTGTACTTTGGGGCCCATGGCAGAGAGCAGGTAATAGGCGTACATAATGATGTGAATGAAGGAATTAATGAAGCCGAGCAGCGTGCCGTGACCACCTAGAAAGGGCAATTAGAAAATGGTTAAACGATGCCAATAGATATGCATAAATTATCAAAAATTGTTTATTCGACAAACGAACTAACCGGCAAAATATTTAACTCCGATGAAGGCGCAAACAGGCATCAGGGTGTGGTGGTATCTGCAAGTTAAAAAAATATATATTAATATCTGCGCTGTTTTGTTTATAACACTGTGGAATAGAAATTTTAGAACGCTTCATCAAACTATGCCCAAACGGTAGAATATTTACACCCTAAAGCAACCATTTTGAAAAAAAAATTCCACTTCAAATAAAAGACCACAAAGATCTAAGTGTATTAAATTTTTTTCAAAAAAATGTANACTTCAAATAAAAGACCACAAAGATCTAAGTGTATTAAATTTTTTTCAAAAAAATGTATGTTTGTAATAAAAATATTATTACAACAAAATGAACAGAGGGTAAAATGAAGGCGATCCCATCCAATTGAGTACAGCAACTTCTTTGTGGCGCTGGCGGTGTGAGGTATGGCAATGTCGGGCAGCAGGCAGACTCCCTATGTCAGCATCCTCTACGTATTTCAGTCTTGATGATGCCAGAGTTTTCTGAACTGTAGCCAAAGCATTTCCTATTTCCATTTTCGCTAGCAGTGATTCCTATTTCGAATGTGTGTGCGACAAGTACACAGTGACCTTTCAGTAAACCACTTGTCATTCTATACAACAATCTTCGCTTGGTTTACATATCACCTTCATAGTTGTCCAGGTAGCTAAACTGTTTCATCTGTTTATGTAACCTTATCCTTCTAATTCTGGAAACCCTTAAGCTCTTTTTGTAACTCAGCAGAAAATCTGTATTTGCTGCTTGTGTATACAAATTAACATTTGTGGCCTTGTTGAAGGCTATTTATGGACCATTTCGACACTAGTTCGGGGTCTTTTTGGTACTAGTTTAGGAGTATTCCGGCCTGCTTCAGGATCCTTTCGTAACCGTTTCGAGCCTGGTTCCCGACTATTTAATAGCCTAGCTAGTTCAGGACCATTTCAGGAACATACACCAGTCTGGCACCATTTTGGGAATAATGCAGGATAATTTTCAGGCTAGTTCATGAGCAATTCATTTTGGTACTCGTTAGAAAGTATATTTTTGACTAATCAGCGACCATTTCGGGATCGTTTCAAGATTTTTTTGAGATCACTTCAGGAAAAATTCACGACTTTTTCGACCCCTCTGAGGCCTGTTTAGGACTATTTCAAATGTTGTGTATTGGTCTCAACAAAATTAAATGAAATAAATTTTTAAACTAACCTAACCTAATTATGTGTGTAATTGAATCTCCCAATGATATTCATCCGCTTATTCGTGGCTAGTATCTCCACTGCCCTCCGTGTTTCTCAGATAATTTTTGAACAAAATATGTAATGTGTTGATTACCTTTATCGCTGCTTGACTATCAACAACCAATCTATTTGCAGTAGGCTCCAGCTCGTATTTCGTTGGCATTTTCTAAACCGTTTTCTTTGAACCATCAGTTAAGATATTGAATGTCGTGATTCTCTAACGTAAGCTCTATTGACAGCAAGTTCAGTATCTTTTCTGCAGCAGCCGTTGAAGTTGTCCTTAGCGCCCCCGTTATATAGAGGGCAGTCACACATTTTATACATATCTTCCAAAGGCTCAAGATAATTATGTAGATTTCCACGGTGCCGTCCACTACAACAACGCCTCCTCAGGTTATAACGATCTAGCGTCCAGCATTTTGTTGCATACGTACGGCGTTAGTCCTTCCTTAGTCTAGAGCTTTTTCTATATTTAGCAAAGTGAATTTAGTGAAGTCTCTGTAAATGGTACACTTCATTCACAATAGGCAATGGGCTTTAAAATGCTCGACGTAAAAATTGCTGGCTAAGTTTTATATACATGGGCTTTTGAAGAGAAGAATTATGTTTATGTTTTATGTTACAAAAGCCACCTCAGATAATAGAAAACTCGGAA